GCAAAACTGTGTCAGCATGTATAAACAAGTCTACTTTACTACATGTACAGTTTCCTTTTACACAAGCTGCATCCACCCAATGGGTAATGAGAGTCAGAGGACTTCTTGTTTTACTTCTATGCTCAATATTTGACTGCTCCGATCCTTCGTGAAACCCTGGTTCTGTCTCTCTAGTCGTGCTCCAGTTTAATAGAACCTAAATAACAGCGTGAGCTTAACAAGTCTACATTCACTTGACCTAAACCGATGCATTTTGCCTCACAATTCCTACTAAAAGCTGCACGTGGAGGCAAAAAAGAAAAGCACTAAATAGGCGAAGTCGTTGATTCAGGGTGCTGAACAGCTCGTCACAAAGACTTCTCTCTCTTAATGCCTCTGCTGCTGATTCAACAGGATCAATTTGCCGAGTAGTCCCGATAAGGGCTCGGTTGAGAAAATAAGAAAAATACAGGTAATGGTCGTCTACAGGCACTGATGATTGCCTAATGGTGCCTGACAACTGCTGACTTGGTGTGTCAGGACCAACATCTGGGGCTTCAGGCTGAGATGACTCCACTTAAGTGCAGAACACTATGAAGCTGAAAAGCTCTCTATGACATTTAATTCAATATAATCTTACCAGTTTCTGTTTCTGCAATCAAATGTGACCACACCGTTTTCATCGGGAATCCACTGAATTCCTGGGGAGAGATTTCAGAGATGGTCAGATGACAAACTGCTGCTTGGCTGGCTGTTCGCATGGACGGATTAACAAACGAACGCACAGACGGATGGGTGGCGACGGACCGTCAAATGAGGGTGTGATGGATGAAGCAGCGGGTGGGTAAAACAAGCTGTGTCACAAATCCTCTGCTAATTACTCCTCATTCTTCTACACACACACACACACACACAGAGGAGAATCCACCAGCAAACCATATTTTCACAGAGACTGAGTCATCGACAGACAGCTTCCTGCATCGTCAGTTGCTGTGTAAGTGCACCGTTTGGCTTGTGTAGCTGAATGTTTATCTACAGCTCATCTTGTACAGCTCAAGGTACCATCAAGTGTGCAAAAACGATGGGAAGTGTTCTGGATGGAGGCCACTCTGACGTACCTGGATACAGCCTGAAGAAGCCCGTAGCGCTGCCAAAGTACTGCCAGGTGAGAGTCGGATCTTTCTGGAAGTTTTCGATGAAGATGTCATTCAGAGCCTCAGACATATACACTCCATTAACGATATCTGGATCTGCAAGAAAAAACAAAAGGGGGACAAATAATAAAACAGACCTCCAACAGGCAAGCTGGGGTGTTATATACTGTAGCATCCATGCTTTATGTTTTTGTTACCTCTGTTGTAGACATTTGTAGGAACTTGTATGTTACTCTGCTGCGTGTTGACTGCCAGTTTACTGAAATGTTCATTTTGCTCCAGTGCGAATTCTCCACCGAGTGGTACCGGGTTCCCGTCCTCGTCCACCGTGTTGATCAGCATGGAGTTATAATAGTCAAACTAGACACAGAAATAACAAACGGTGATTGTACAGTAGGTTTGATGGTGATTAAAGCTGTGCGAGGTCGTTTTGTTGGGGGGCATCATTGGAAAAATAAACTCCAGTATAGACTTTCAGAATATTGTAATTAAAGTTCTTTGAGAGGAAACTACACCAGTGCATCTCCTCCTGGATCATGTTCAGGCTTTAGAACGTGGCAGTACAAATAATTAAGTTAAACAGAAGACTTTTAGTCAAGGTAAGTAGGTTTGAATCTCATGAAAAACCACAAGTGAATGTTGACTGTTGAGTATTTTTTGAAGTACTTTTGAAGCTTGTGCTCCTCTTGTGATGGGCTCTTTTGAAGAAAGAGCTGAGATTTCTGCCTACTGCAGCTTTAAAGATCAAACATAAGTTTAAATAAAAATCAGATTCTACTGTGAACAGCTATGTATTTCTGTGAGATCTTATTGTAAAAACCTGCAAACTGAGAGGCGATTTTGCAACGCCTCAGGGTGACTTGATTCCCTGTTAGTGGAGCTGGATCGATACCGCATTTTTCAAATCTGACATCAACAAATCTGCCAGTACTTTGGATGTTAGAGTTGTATTTAACAGGGAAAATGATCGTGTCATTGGGCATTAACTTTACAGCAATGCACTTCACGAACTCGTTAGCATCTTACAGTGAAGACAAAGTTTGACTCGGCACCACCAACTGCTCAGCTGAGTACTCTGCTGCATGTGCTGCAAGCAGCGCTGAGTATTCTAAACAATGAAGTTAAAGCTGCTCTTCTGGACAAACATTTTTTTCTGTATTATGTTCTGGAAAATAAAGTTTTCCTATCGCTATGAATCAGACAACACATGCACCACTATATTTCTATCAGGCTCTAGTTAGAACTTTACTGTGTACACCACCAAATACCACTAAAGAAAAGTTATCAGTAAAGATCAGATACTTGGTTATGAATCTTTAAAGTTTCCGTCAAGTCAAAGCTTGCATATACTGCATAATCTCAAAACTGTGCACAGACATCAATGCTCTCACAGCGATTATCACATACCTCTAGTGTTTCATTGTACTCGTGGAAAAGATCAGCATCCTCGGCTGATTCTGCTAAACTCTGTCATAAAACACAACGTTTTAATTAAAGATACAGCTTCATTTACCAACACTGTGATTAAACATGCAACGATTTTTCATTTCCTCACTACTTAAACAAGATCACATCTGCAGCAGAGTTCATGTCAGCTTGGTTTCCACTGAATGTGCATTTGCTTCGACAGAATGTACCTTAACAGATTTCATCTTCCTCCCGAGCATCTCCTCCATCTCCTCCGCAAACTTCTTCACCAGCTCCTCGCCGTTCACCTCCTCGATCTTCACCACACCCTCAACATCCTTGTATTTCTTCAAAACCGACACATGTGCTTTTATTAGTAACACAGCTTTAATATGTATAAAATGATTTTATGTGAAACATCCTTTCGAGAGCTTTTGAAGGAAAGAAAACAAAATATAAAGACAAGATTCTAAAACATCACCTGCATTTTCACTACCATAACTATATATATATATATATTTACAATAAATAGCACAATATCTCGCTCAGTGCTCAAACACAAAGATCTACGAATAACTACTGAACCATGTAATTACAAAAATTCAGACAGGCAACAGTTTTCTGTGTTCTCCAGACCTCTTCTCTACAATATGACAGACTACACTGTACTGCTAACCGCATCTCCTGACTGACATCTGTGCAGATTTTAATGACTCTTGTTTTTCGACGATATCCTAAATATTTCTAATCCACATACAGCTGACTTTATTAACTATCATCATTAAAACTAAAGGCATCAATCAGAGTCATGATGCTGATTTTACACCAACTGTAGTCGCAGTCTCCAAAATAATGAAATCAACAGTCAAATAAAGTCACAAAATGTAATAATTGTGAAAGCACTGCATAATGCAGCATGCTGTGTTCTTTCATTGTGTTTCTAACCATTTGTTTCTCTGGTCAAATAACTAATTTGCAAATTACTGCTGCGACTAGCTGGGTAATTAAAACAGCAATTAACGCTGTTCGATGCTGCTGCTATATGTGTTCTCAAAAGTTAATTTCCTGCGTTGATATTTAAAGCATTGGTCATGACGTCAGATATCAATATTTGTTTTGGTGATAGGAGTCATTTTCTGTTCCCCTCAGGATGATAATTACCTTTACAGCGTTTTGTATTTTATAGAAATAGGCGTGATAATTGAAAACAGAACAGAAGAGGGAAAGATCTTCAGCAAGTCATTTGTAAATTTGGTAGAAACAAAAACACAAAATATAAAAACTGTTCTTTCAAGGTAAATGACAAAACTTATATAACACCTTTTAACCAAACTGGGGTTTACGAAGCGTTTCACATTGTGTCTCTTATTCACACACCGATAGCAGCAGAGCTGTTGTGCAACAAGCTCACCTGCCATCAGGAGCAACTTGGGGGGCAGGGTTTTGCTCAAGGACACGCGGACATATGGAGGGTTTGTGGGTTAAACTGCCAATATGATACAATACGATAGGATACGATACGATA